GGTGTTGTTCCGGTCATCTGGAATGGAGCCCCGTGGTTGACTTTTGGGGCCAAAATGAAGCCTGTGGAGTTAAGGAAGGTTAGACTTGAAACCTGCTATCAGCTGTGACTTGCACCTCCCCACACCCCTCAAGATCCTCCGCTGGGATTAGCATGATCATTGTTTTATTTGTGGAGAAACTGAAACCCAAAGAAGGGAGGCAGCATGCCTGAGGTCACACAGCAAGCTAGAACCCCAGGCTGTTTTGCACTGAACCTGGTGGCCCTGTCTCCCAGCTGGTCCTGAGTCTGAAGAACTACCTCCCTCTCCCACACACGGTCTTTTCCCCATCTCTTCAGGAGCCATAATATTTTATCTCAGTCCCTAGCCAGGGATTTTCTTTTCTTCCAGCAGCTTGAAAGGAGGCTCACCCTGGCCCCTCAGTACCCTTCTTTTCAAGAGGGGTCCCCTCTGATCCTCAGGCTCCTTCCGGGCTGTCCGAGGACTCAGCAGGTAAAGAAATACAGGGCACAGGTTCCAGGAAAGCTAGAGTACGGTGGTTTGTGGGGAACAGAGGATCTATTTGTACTTACTTACGATATTTACAATAGAAGATATTATAAACAACCCCCCAAATCATAATACTTATGGATCACAGAGTATGTGCCATGTACCGATAGGTGCTGGAGAGTCTGGTGAACAAGTTGTCTGTCTGCCAGCAGTGCTCATGGTCTGGTGGAGGAAGCAGAATGACCAGGGTGCAGGCGAGTAGTAGTGACCCTGTGAAGAAGGATAAAGTGGTCTGTGAGGAAATGGTGGGGACCGCTTCCTTAGGGTGGTATCTCCCTTTGGGTTCTTCTAGAAAGCAGATGCTGAGAGAAGGATCTGAGTGCGAGTTATCTATCTGGGAACAGACCGCAGGAAATATCTTTAGACGTGAGAAGGGAAGAGAGTCCAAAACGTGGACAATATGAAGCCAGTCGCCAGTGTGGGTGACTCGAGCGCCATCCCGTGGGGAGCTTTGGGAAGCAGTGGAGAATGTGCTCTTGGGTTACTCTGTTTGAGGGGCAGTTCCTGGCAGTGGTGGATTCAGGGATGGGAGCCCTGAATGCCCCAGTCTGCATGGACATCGGCCCCTCTGGTAGCCAGAGAGAGCTGCAGGCAGAGAGGTGGCTAGTCAGGGGGTATGTGTGGAAATTACGTCCGCTGAGGGGATTGAGGTGGGGGGCGCTGCTAATGTCAGTGCAGGCAGTCAGGCCTCTCCAAGAAGGTGACTTGGAGCACATGTGAGTATAGGAGGGAGGAACCTGGGAACAGCTTTCTAGCCAGAGGGAACAGCAGGTGCAGTCGACGTTTAACTGGAGGCTGGGGCCCTGCTTCTCACAGGTCTGCTGGCTGAGGGAGGCATAGGTGCCTTAAAGGGGTCAGGTCATTCCATGCTCACAGAGCGGCACTCTGTTCAGGCAGCCCTCAGGACAGGACGCCCACCCCTCTGGGTCATCCTGGACCTGACCCCTGGCTCACATGGAAAGGGGCTTGGTGGGCTGCCGGTGTGGGTGAACAGCACGGGCTGTGGGAGGCAAAGACCAGCATTGTCATTTATGAGTCATGGCCAGACTCCTCTGAGCCTCTTTTATCCATAAAGTGAGAATCCTAATATATCCTTGCCTCTCCTCACAGAATACAGAAAATGGCTGTGTGCCCATTCAAGCCCTTAGCCCTCAGCCCTTGGTAATGACAGTAGCTCACACTTCAGTGTGCTGGGCATAGTTCTGAGCCTACCTGGTGTGTAAACTCACTTCATCCTCACAGCAACACTATGGGGTTGTCCCAGTTTTTAAGTGAGGAAACTGAGGACCAGGGAGGTGGAGTGACTAAACCCACAGCCCATCTCCAAACCCCAGGGTTTTAACCTTGACAGCTCGTTTTTCTTTCACAGAGTTTAGGTACCCAGGAAATGAGAGCTTATGCGATGATAATTTTTAAATTATTTTCTTTTGATAATCTTAACAACTTCTGAAATTTACCAGGCACTTTTTACATGCTGAACCTGTTTCTGATGATGCTCTTGAGGAACTGAACCCATTTGTCAGATAAAGAGACTGTGGCCTTAGAAAAGCAGCTACATTCTGGGTCATGGTAGAGCTTGAGTTGCCTTCTGAGATGTTACCCTGTGGCTTCTGAGGCCATCTCCCCACCAGACTGGAAGAGGCTAGAGGCCAGGGCACTTGGAGGTCCCCCTGGCCCATGGGTTTGGCTGTTGCTCTGATTTTCCAGACACGAGCCAGGCTGGCTCTCCGCTTCTCCAAGAGGGGCCCAGGGGCCCCCTGCCCAGCTCTGAGTCCTGGGCAGAGGGCCTTAATGAGGAAAGGGCACAGTTTGCAGCCGCAAGTTAAACCAGGCATATGGTCCGTCCCCAGCTAACTCTGGCAGCAGGTCATCTGTAAAATTTCTAAGTTAAAATAGCGCAGTCATTATTCCACCACAGGGCTGAAAATAACCAGGACCGGAACAGGGCTGTGGACTCAGGCCTGTATTTGCCTGAGGGCCTCTGGGAGCTCTTCCTGAAGCCCTGGGCTCCTCCCCTAGGAGCATGTGGCCTCCAGCCCTAGATGGCTGGCTGGTGGGCAGGCTGAATGCATTTGTCTTATTGAGTGCTCTTAGGTGTGGGTTTCTTCAGGGAGGGTGTGGTGCATGAGAGACCTTCCACCTCATTGAAGAGATGAGTCATGCCCAGAAGGACAGTATAGGAGCCGAGGTAGGATTCCCTTCCTTGAGGGGAAGGAGGATCTTGCTGGGCCTTGGGAGGATGAGGTAGTGGGAAGGGGGAAGAGGACAAAGCACAGCTGCAGCTTTGGACAGGAGTGCACCTTCTTCAGTTCCTGGGGGGAGACACACATGACCAGAAGTTCTTCAAGAGGAAGACACATGGTAGACAGCTGCTGGGTGTGAGTGATGTGGCTGGAAGGAGGAAGGAAGAGAGGGAAATCCACGCTCAAGAGAGGCACAGGCTCAAGAAAGAAACGGGAGGCCAGCTCACGGAGGGAAGATGTCCCATCAGGGGGTGTGACCATGGGCTGGGTCCTGTGCTAAGCACATTATGTTTTATTATCTCATTATCTAATTTTATTATCTCATCAAAGGGTTAAAACAGTAGCCCTGTGAGCCGGGGACTGTTGTTTTCCCCATTTTTATGGATGAAAAACTGTGACTCTGGGAAGGTAATTAATTTGCTCAACATTACTCAATGTCAGACCTGGGGTTCTAGGATTAAGGCCTTTGCTCTTAACAGCTAGGCTATCCTGCCTTCAAGAAGGCTTCCTGGATGAGGGTGGACGTAAGGGTTTTCAACCAAATAAAGGGAAGGGCATTTCTGATAGAAGGAACTCCTTGAGTAGAAGCAACTCCCTGAGCCAAACCATAGAGGTGGGAAAGAAAATGTTAAACATCATGAGGAAGAAGCTCTGCATGGTTGCAGCGTCCGTTGTGTGTACATTGCATGTGAATGAGTGTGTGGATGCAGGGATATTATGGGAGTGGGCACTGGGACACCTGTGACTCCCCACTAGTCATTGTGGGAATTGCCTGTAGTGGATTGGGAGCTGGGGAGGCGGGGCGCGGTAAAGCTCTGACTTGCTTTGTGGTGTTGCACAAGTCCCATTGCTCTCTGGGCCTCAGTTTCATCATCTATTACGTGAAGAGTTTGGGCAGAGGGTCTCTATGGCTGATGAGTGGCAACTGGTCTACCAGGGCCCTCAGGAAGGAGGCCATGGAATAGGTGAAGGGTCAGGCCTGGGAAGGAAGAATGCAGAATATGCCAAGCATTTCAGAGGTCTGGGAGGACTGGGGAATGTTTTGACAGCAAAAAGGTCATCTCTAACCTTGGCAAGCTTTGGCCCTTTGGAATGGAAGGGGCGGAAGTGGCTTTGGAGAGGAGCCAGGAAAGGCTGAGCTGAAGGAAATGGGATAGTGGGGACATGAAAATGGCGGGGAGGAAGGATGTTTGCTGTAGACAGGGATGGATAGTGAGATGAATGAGGCCATCCCTGATTGGCCCCCAACACCAAGCCCTGATTGGTGTTGCCTGTCTGGAGCCTTATATTGAGAAACAGTCCAAAGCCTGTAAATCAGAGAATAGAGCTGCAATTGATTAGCAGTGTCTGCCAAGGAAACTAGTGATAGGGCAGCATGTAGTTGGCCATCCTTGCTTAGATGCATCTTGGGTTGAAAGCAGTAGTCTGAATACCTACTGAGGGGGATCCTCAGGAATTAGGAATTGTGGGAGGAAATATCTCTGGCTCTAAAAACTTCTTCCTGACCTTTTGCTAAAATCAAGGTGGTTTGCCTCATGAGAAGATAGTGATGAACTTCTAGAATATAGGTGAGGTTCGGTGGGGTGAGGTCCGGAGCTGATGACCAAGAAAGAATTCTTGAGACATTTTTGGTGCAAAATGGTGCTTTAGAAGAGTTGCTGCCCAGGGGATGTGAGGGGGGCCGGCCGGTTTTGTACCATGGACTTGGGGTGGAGGTGAGGAAAAGGGAAGTTTCAATAGAACTTTCATATGCTAAAGAGGACCTATAAGATACCGGATACCAGAGGCCTTGCCATTGCCAAGGTTGTTTTGCCCTCTAGCAAGGTATTGTTTGGTTGGAGATTTTTTAAAGAATGTCACATACGTCCCACCCAGGAGTGGGGGGCGGGGAGGAGGTTGCAAGGTGTCAGCCTTTTGCTTTGTCCTTAGCCAGCCTTCTGTTCCCTCATCAATAGGATGGGCTACTGATCAGGAACTTGGGCTTTAGAGTCAGATAGAGGACTAATGTGACGAATCACATGTCCTTTGAGCCTCCCTTCCCTCCTTTGAAAGGGGAATGAAAGAATGCCTGGCTGGAAGGTAGCTGTGAATGTTAGTAGTGGTCAGAGCCGCTTTGTTATTATTCTTGTCTTTGTTACTTGATAGCTCAGTCTTGCCCTGAGGATGTGATGACGGTCTTGGTGGCGGTGGTCTTGGTTTCTCTGAGGCTGAGGCTCAGGTCTGAGTTGCCCTGGGGCTTCCATCACCCAACCCAGGACTGGGTCACCTCCGGGATTTTCTGATTCTTTTTGGAGGATCAAATGGAACAGGCTCGTGATTGATACAGCAGAGGCTAGGGTTCCTTGGGGGTCTTCTCAGCGGGGACTGGGCCTCCTGTTGGGGTGGCGGCCCAAGTGCAAGGGCTGGAAGGCAGTGGGTTGGGGCCCACAGCTGAAGATGGTTTTGAGACATTGCAGACCTGAAAGAAGCCTTGGAGTTGTCCAGGTCATTTCTTCACTCAGCAAATACTGAGTGCCAGCTGCATGCCAGGCTCTGGATGACCGGCCAACAAGTCCCTGCTCACCTGGACCTCAAACAGGGGGACCGGGTACACCTGTAAGTTCTTGTAAGGAGCCCCTCCCCCCCAATACCCATGCATTCTTTTTCAGATGAGGAAGCAGTCTCAGAGAGAGACAGTGGCTTGCTCAAGTCAAAACCAAAGAGGTGTGGGTATGCAAGGCTTCTTTTGGCTGGTGGAAAAGAAGGTAGAACCCCTGGAGGAGGAGAACTTCAAGACAGTTGCTGGGAGGGGCAGCATGGGCCAGACAGGGTAGAGGGCCCAGTACTGCCACCTAGGCCCAGTAGCGAAGGAACCCCTGAGCTAGCCTGTGCCTTGTAGGCGGGGCCTGCAGCCCTGCCCTGGCACCATTGATGCCCAGTTCAAAGCTTTCTTCCTGTGTCTCTTCCATTAGAGACACTGAGGCCTCCTGGATAAGCAAGGAGAGTACAGGGTTCTCCCAGCTCCTCTCCCAGAAAGTGGTCCAGGGAAGCTGGCCCTGCCTGCCTCCAATGGTGGCCCCTGGAAACTGATTCCTCTGTGGATCCTGCCCTATCCAAGATCGTGGGTGAAGCTGAAGAGCCGTTTCCTCCTCTTTAAAGTGGCTACAATCGTAATACCTCCTATACTGCATTGTCAGAGAAGGGATGATAATGGACAGGCAAAGGACCCTGACATGCAGGAGTGTGGGGTTTTCATTAGTCTTGGTGATCTGCTTGGAAGGATCCCTAGAAACCTTCCTCCGCTTCTGGCTTCATTGCTTCCAGCTGAGTGATCTGGGGAGAAACCCTAAACCCTGGGGGTTGTTCAAACCACTGGTGAAGACCACACTTGCCCTCCTGCCTCTCTGCCTGCTCGGGGCCCTCTCTCACATGGGTGGGGTGAGGTGGGGGCTTTCCAGCTCTCTCTCTGTTTAGTTTTCATAGCTTCCATCTCCCAACCTTCCTGACCTCAGTCTCAGGCAGAGTTTTCAGAGGACCCTTCTGTGTGCCCTGCTCTGTACCCTGGCCTTAGCATTACTAGGCTTAGAGGGGAGAGGGGACTTTCCCAACACATGGAGGTGGTGGGAAGCAGAGCTGGGACTTGAACCCAGGTCTGCTGGATTCCAGTAGCCTTCATAAGATGTCATTTGAGCACTCACCTCTCCCTTTCCTGCCCCTGCCCCTGCCCCCACCTCTTTCCTGGTCCCCCACCCCTACCTCTTCCTCTCCATGGCTGTGGAGATGGAGGCCAGCAAGAGTAGGTTGGGGCCCTGAGAACCACCCAGGTTTGAGTTCTGACTCCCAACTCTTTACTCACTGTAGGTGGCCTTTTGATGACTTTGCTTCTCTGAGCCTCAGTTTTCTAATCTGTAAAGTGAGGATAGCATCCACATCACAGGATCACGTAGAGAATTCAGTAAGAAAATAGCATGGTTTGCTCTCAGCAAGTATTGAAGTATAGAGTTTGGGTTTTGAACTTGAAAATATGGGCTCAGATCTTGGCTCTTATACTTGCTGGCTCTGTGGACGTGGTTGTGTGATTTCACCTCCTGGGGCTTCAGTGTCTTTGTAAGTGGGTAAGCGATAAAAGTGTCTGCCTCATAGGTTGTCATAGGATTAGTGAGAATATTTTATGGAAGGCTTCTTACCATGGTGCTTGGTAGGTACTGGAAAATGTTAGTCCTTTATTATAGGTAAAAATAATGGTAGATGGACAACCCCAATACCCTTTGCTAGGTCTTCCTAGGAAATGGGTGCAGGGAGGACAGGGTCTGAGGGACTGTCCTTCTGCACAGAGCTGCCGGAGAACTGGACAGACACTCGGGAGACACTGCTCGAGGGAATGCTCTTCAGCCTCAAGTACCTGGGCATGACGCTGGTGGAGCAGCCCAAGGGCGAGGAGCTGTCAGCTGCTGCTGTCAAGAGGATTGTGGCTACGGTGAGCCCCAGTCAGGGTGGGGGAGCCATAAGCCAAGGGCCGGCTGCTTCTTGGGGTACCGCTCATCTCCTGCTTACTGCCCTGATGGGATGCACCTCAGTTGTTCCCATCCTTGACTCCCTTGCATCTGGCTTAGGGACTCTGGTAGAGGAGAGCCACTGGGCTTGTAGGGTCAGGGTCCATGTCCTCCTCTCCAGCTGTTGTGGCCTTGGCCTCTCCCAGGCTCCCCTCCCCCAACTCAGGTCCCTTACCTCAGGGTTGGTGACTTAGTGACAAGGAATAGTGGGGAGGTTGCGGTCACGCAAGCACTTGCCCTCTGGCCTGAGAGATGGGGTAATGCACCAGAGACAGATCTACCCCTTCCCCAGCTCCCTGTCCTGAGTGAGCATCGCCCTCTAAATGCACCTCCTTGGTGGCCTTGGACCCTTCAGCTCAGACACTCTCAGGTCTAGTGGGTGGAGTGGAGAGTCCCCAGGAGTGATCCTGCTGGGTTGTGATAGCCCACTCCATGCTCAGAGTCTGCGGGCCCTCCTAGCAGTGTGTCCTGGGGCAGCTCCCTTAACCTCTGAGCCGTTTCCTCCTCAGGAGAAGCTCTGTTGCCTCTAAGGACGACTTGAGGTCCAGTGCCTGGCAGACAGCAGGTGCTTCATGAGCCGGGGTTGTCCTGTGTTTATCACAGGAGCGTGCTGACTGCTTTCTTCCCCAGCGTGTCTGCTGTCTCTACGCTGAGGCCTCAAGGGGGCCTCGAGTCTAGGGCTTAGACCAGCTAGGTGTAGCCCATGAGAATAGGTCCCAAGTGGGGCAGGCAGGTTCTCTCACCCACGTCTACCCCAAGGCCAAGGCCAGCGGGAAGAAGCTGCAGAAAGTGACCCTCAAGGTGTCGCCACGGGGGATTATCCTGACCGACAACATCACCAACCAGCTCATCGAGAACGTGTCCATTTACAGGTATGCTCAGCATCCCCCATATTCACTCTGCTGCTTGTGGCAGTGGGTGGGGCGCCCTTTCTGAACCTAGGTTCCACCACTTTCTGTCTGGGTGAGCTTGGAGCCTCAGTTTCCTCCTGTATGTGTGTTTGGGGGTGGGGGATGGAAACAGACACTGCCTCACGGCGCTGTTAGAAGTGCTGAGTGCACAGCACCTGGTCATAGTGGGTGCTCGGTTAAAGGGCAGCTGCTGCTGTCATTACTCCTAGTTGCAATAGGCACTTGAGGCCTAGTGAGGACTGGGACCCCCTCCCCACCACCTCTCCCCAGGCGTGCTGCTGAGGCAGGCTTGGAGCCGAGAGGTGTGGAGTCACTGCCTTTTCCTTCCACTGTGAATGCAGCAGCTCTGGACATCTGGCCAGGCATTCAGGAAGGCCTCAAGGCAGAGTCTGAGGCCAGAGTGTAGATGGTGTGGGGGGGTGGGGATGACACTGTTCTCAAGGAGGCAGAACCCAGCCCTTGAAACGTCAAGCTCTCCCTGTTCCCTCTCTTGGCTGGTTGGTTGTAGGATTTTAGTGCTTGAAGGGACAGTCCATTTTACAGATGGAGAAGCTGAGGCCCAGGGAGTTGCCTGAGGCCCCACAGTGAGGTAGTAGCTGGGCTGGGACGAGGACATGGAGGCTGGAGTTCTGTCCAGCAGGCACTCAGCTGCTGGGCGTTCCTCCGCCCTCTTGCTTTGTCTCCAAGCATGTGGCTCACCCCGCTGGAGCACAGGCCAGTACTGGGTTGGGGGAAGAGGGAGGTTGGTTTTAGTTTCTGGCTGGTGTCCTCCTCTCACCTTCCTGATTCTTCCTGTCTCCTTTAACTAGGGGAGGCTTTTGACCCAGCCCCTGTCAGCAAGGAGGGCGTGGAGGGAAAGCAATAGGAGAGAGAGTATAAGTATTTCCCAAGAGAGCAGAGAAGGAGGGGCTTGTCTGTCCTTACAAGGCCTCCCCAGAAGGTGGCAGGAGGCTGGATCTGCTGGGATGGAGAAGAGGTAGCTGCTGGCCTATGGGTTCTAAGTGGTGCCGATCGCTGTGTCAGTGGCTGTGAAGGAAGCTGGGGCTGCACTAGGGGAAGGAGCCTGCTGAGCTCCGGTCCCATCTGGGGCTGCCAGTTCCTCTGCTGATTGACATTCCCAGGCCGAGCAGCTGGCAGGGAGGGAGCAGACAAGGGGGGTTGGGCCAAGTATTCCAAGAGGAGGGAGCTGCTGTGTATTCCTCCTGGACCCGCTGGGGCTCCAGGTCTGGTCATCCTCACACTCCCTCACCCAACTCCCAGCTCCTTGACCTCTGACCACAGCTCTAGGAGAATTTGCCAGCAGTCTCAGTCATCCTGAGAGAGAGGGCCTGGAACTCCTCTGACCTCTGGGCAGGGGCATGACTGGAGGGCTAGGAGGGAAGGCCTGGTGAAGGGCATGGGTGGCTGGGGCAGTGTCCTGCTTCCCCTGTCTGGTCAGGGCTGTCTGGTCAGCACAGACCCTTAAGGGAAGTGTGGCAGTGGTTACAACCTCTGGAATCCTCAGGAGATCCAAGACTGTTAGCTTCAGTTTCTCATCTGAAAAGTGAGGATAATAATAGAACCCATCTCAGGGCAGCTCTGAGAATTAAGTGAAGTCATATCTAGAACATTGGCCTGGGATACAGGAAAGGTGTAGCTATTACCATTCTGGAGTATGGCTCAGTAGAGGGGGGAAGTCCCCTCTACTCCTTCCTGCCTAGCCTGTGTGCCCCCCATTGATGGCTCAGAATGCCAGGTCCAGAGGCCAAAGCTGTCTCTCCAGAGTCTCCCCCTGGTGGAGTAGGATAGTCAGCTCTTGGGGAATCAGGGGAGATGCCCTGTGGGGCAACCCATATGTGGGCAGGCCCTTGTGCTGGGTTTGGTGACACTTCCCACTTGCCTTTCAGGATCTCCTATTGCACAGCAGACAAGATGCACGACAAAGTGTTTGCCTACATTGCACAGAGCCAGCACAACGAGAATCTCGAGTGCCATGCCTTCCTCTGCACCAAGCGGAAAGTGGTCAGTGGGGAGAGGCTGGCCTTGGCAGCCCTGCCCTAGGGGGGAGGCAGGACCCAGGTGATATCACTTAATAGGAGGAATGAAATTCCTGGGAACCCCACATGGATGCTGAGAGCACTGAGTAAGGCTGCAGTCAGTAGGCAGCCTGTCACTGTGGGCTGCCCTGAGTGGCCATCCTGGCCTGTGGGTGGTGACAAGGCCATGTCTCCAGTAAGTGCCCTAGTGCCTTCCTCTTTAACATGATTGATTGGATTTGAAGGAGGGGGGGCTTTCCTGTCAGTAGTATGGTCTTGGGGTTCAGGGCCTTATAGGAATCAGTCCTTGGAGATTGATGATCTGAGGGCTCAGGGGAAAGGCTAGGGGACCTGGCTCTCTATAGCCAGAGTGGGGAGGGAAATGGCCATTTTTTGGCACCTACCATGCCCCTCTGTCAGTGGTGGGCTTTAAGGGATCTTCTGTTTAGTCCTCATAGCTCTGTGGGGTGGCAGCTGCTACTAGCTTCGCTATTTTTATTTTTAACAAGGAAGCAGATTCATAGAGGTCAGCTGTCTTGCTGAAGATGACACAGCCAGCTGGGCAGAGCAAGGGTTTAGCCCATGCTGCTTCTCCCTGCTGCATGACTGCAAGGAGCCCAGAGCTCCTTGCCCCATTTCCAGGCTACCTCTGGCCACATCCAGCTGAGACGAGTGGAGGTCTCAGGGCTGTGGTCTCTGGGCTTTGTCTTGAACTTTGCGACAAGCAGGCAGAGTGAGTTCACCTTTGGTGTTGAGGCTTTCGTTTCGGAGGCCTGGAGGTCTGAGCATCTGCTCTGAGGAGATTCTGATGTTTATTGGTTTAGCGTTGGCCTCTGTTAACCTTCGTACAGAGCCCAGAGCCCTCCCCAGATCCTATGGTCCTTGGAACCAAGAAGACAAGATCATCTCCCCTACCCCTCTCATCATGGACACGTCAAGGACATCACAGTCTTTAAGTGACCCCCCAGGCTTCCTGCTACCCATCAGGGCCTGCTCGAGATACAGTGTTAGTTTTCTATAACTGCTATAAGAAATTACCGCAGACTTAGTAGCGGTTTAAAACAACCCAAATTTATTCTCCTGTGGTTCTGGAGGTCAGCAGTCTGAAGTGGGTCAGCAGAGTTGGGAATCCTTTCAGAGGTTCCAGGGGAGAATACATTTCCTTGCCCTTTTTAAACTTTCTAGAGACCACCGTTCCTTGGTTCCTGGCCCCTTCTTCAACCCGAGGGCCAGCAGTTCAGCACCTCCCAGTCTTCCTCCTGCTTCCGTTGTCACTTTGCTTCCCGTGTCAGTCCATTGTCACTGCCTCTGACCCTCCTGCCTGGCTCTTAGAAGGCTCCTTTTGATTGGGCGCCGTAGGTAATCCAGGATAACCCCCACCTCAAAATCCTTAACTTAATCACACCTGTGAAGTCCCTTTTGCCATGCCAGCTAACCCTTACAGGTTCCAGGGATTAGGATGTGGACATCTTTGGGGGCCATGATTCAGCCTACCAAGGGCTTTTGGAGGGAGCACTGCAGGATGAGACAGATTAGGGGTGTGATTCTGGCTGTTGTGCTGTGTGACTGTGGATAAGACCCTGCCCTTCTCTGGGCTGCTTGCCCATCAGCAGAATGAGGAGGTCACCTCAGTGACCTCTAGGATTGTTCTGAAAGGCCCCTTTCTTCTGTGTACCTTGTTTCTTTCCTGCAGACTCAGTGTCGCCAGCCACTCACCCAAGGCCTCGTGATGCCCCAGGTCCCCGAACTGCAATAGCTTCTCCTATGACGGGTTTGTTCTCACAGTGTCTCCTGGCTTTGTCTCTTATGAGGCCACAGAGACTTAAAAATACAGGCTCATTATGTCCCCATTGTTTGTCTCTTCCTCCTCACCGACCAGAGCAGGCACTGGGCAGGGGCAGCTGGCCCATAGCCACTGCTGTAGAGTGTGGACCCTGGGCAGGAGGGGCGCCAAGCTCCAGAGGCTTCCTCTGGGAAGGGGAGCTGGGGGTAAAAGAAAGCGGATGCCGGCCCAGTGGCTGAAGGGAGGCCTGGTCTGGGGCCAGAGGACTTTAGACAGGCTTGAACAAAATCAGCCTGCCACAGGCCAAGAGGTCAGTTATTGAGGAAAACAACCTGCCTGCGGCTTGGCGCTGACAGCCGAACCCTGGCCTGGCAGAGGGGGTGGCTCCTGCTGGACACCTGGGCCCAGGCTTGTCACTTTTCCTCACACACTTTGCTCTGTGTCAGGAGCTGACTGGCTCAATTATAGCTTATCCACCTTTCCTTTGCCAGCTTTCTGCCTTCAGACAGCCCAGGGCAGGGCAAGGTAAACAGGCTACCCGACAGGAGGGTGGTGGTCTCAGCCCTTCCCCAGGCCACCGCTGAGCCCATGCTGCCAGTAACCTGGCCATGTTGGAAATCCTGAGCTTCTCAGGGCTTAGTGGACCTTTCTGAGAAGGAGGCAGAGGGTGAAATGGGGGTCTCAGGTTCTGCAGCCCCCCAGTGGTCAGATGCCTCCCCACATGTCCACTGCTGCCTGTCCTGGGTTGAGCCCTGTGTTGGGACCTGGGGACTCAGGGAATCGGCCATGGAGATACCAACAAGGTGGTGGGGCAGAAGGGCCAGGATTATGGTAACTGGAACCCGGGGGCTCAGTTCTACGGTGGAGGTCATTAAGTCTCACCAGAGGTCAGTAGGATTTCCCAGAGAAGGAGACATTTTTTTTTTTTTTAAAGATTTTATTTTATTTATTTGTCAGGGACAGAGGGAGAGAGAGCGAGCGAGCACAGGCAGACAGAGAGGCAGGCAGAGGCAGAGGGAGAAGCAGGCTCCCTGCCGAGCCAGGAGCCCAATGTGGGACTCGATCCCAGGATGCTGGGATCATAACCTGAGCCGAAGGCAGCTGCTAAACCAACTGAGCCACCCAGGCATCCCGAGAAGGAGACATTTTGATTTCGAGCTTTGAAGGCTGAGTAGTGAGTTAAGAGTTTGCCGGCCGAGAGAAAGGGGGTGGGGTGGTAAGAGAGGGAGTGCACAGGAATCGGCATGTGCAAAGATGCAGGTGCAGAATTAAATGGTATGATTGGTGGTGGAGGACTCAGATGTGACTGGAGCCGGGGTGGGTGGCAAAGTAGAGTCAGCTTATGGGGGAAACTTGAATTTGCATGCCAACATAGCCCCTGTTGCCTTTGGCTGGGGGCCCACAGTCTCCATGTATCTCTACCCTTTCTCTGGGCTAGAAGTCTGTGACCACCCAGGGTGGCGGGAAGGGGTTCCTTTCTGGTTCACCCCCCTGTTCAACTCAGCTTGGGCAGCACAGCCACCCGGCCTCCCTCCCCCGGTGATTCCTGTTTGGAACGGCCAAGATGAGTTCCCCCAGAAAGAAATGCTTCTGTCTGCCCAACTGTGAGGCCTCCGCCAGCCCTGCAGCCTCGGGATTCGGAAGTGAAGGTGGGGTTGTGGCTTTGATGTGGCCCGGGGTTGTAGTGCAGATGGACTGACAGTAAACAAAGTGGCTCCGCACCCCCCCCCCCCCCCCCCCCGCCCACCACCACCACAACCGATTCTATACCGGGCAGGCTGGGGCAGAGCTGTTCTGCTGTACATGGCCGTTGGCATTCCTCACGTAATCCTTCTGGGCCAGCAGGGCCTTAAAGGGACCCATGGCGGGACTTGGTCTGAGTACTAGGTTGGGGTCTGGGATCCTGGGTGTCCTGAGCTAGACCTGGTCCCTTGAAGGAATTCACAGCCTGGTTACAGGGAACGAGCCAGAGACAAGAAAAACTGGGTGAGGTAGAACCCGGTTCAGGTGCTGAGGGACTCACAGGCCAGAGGCACACTCCTAGGAAAGAGAAGCATTTAGCCTGCGGGATCAGGGAAGGAAGACCTCCCCCTGGGCAGGCTCGAGCAGTCCTTTCTTGTAATGCTGCCCAGATTCCGGCAGCTGCCCCAGAGATCAGGGCCTGCCCCAGCCCCAGCCTGGCCTGGGCTTGCAGCCACCTGCACACACGTGCATCTTGGGTTATGTTTGGTTTACTTGTAGCTTGGGATTTCAGGGCGAAAGGCAGGAATGTATGCAAATGAATGAGTAGATTGATGCAAAACCAGTATCAGGTTCATGGCCCCAAATATCCTGGAGGCAAAAATAATGGTGTTTCCATCTCCTTGCCACACTAGGTGACCAGCCGCGTCTTGGGTATGTAGTGAGCTGACTCTGGCTGGTAATCAGCCCATATTTTTAGTTCATGGGCAATTCTCAATGGTAACTGGGTCTATTAAACTTGATTCAGACGTGACAGCTTAAATTGTAAACAGCTGTGAAGAGTTTCATACTTAATTACCATATTTAAGTTTTGCCATAAAGCGCCCGTACTTCCATCAAAAATGTAAATGACGGAGACATTCAAATGAGATTTTATACTTCGTGAAGTTTAATTGGCATGGATCAGTCAGCTTGTTTAAGGATTTTAAATTTTAGAAAAAAGAGTTTTAAAGGCAGTACCGCAGATTCATTTCTCAATTAAATCAGGTTGTCTGGTAGAGGGAAAGGGAATGGGTCCGAGCAAGGCTGGTAGGCCTGAACTTGTGCACTTGAAAGAATCTGGTGCTTTCTTCTCTAGGCTTGGGCTGTCAGAAGGAAGCTGGATGTCGCTTCCGGCTACAGCTGAGCTCTGGGACTCCCACTCCCAGCAGCTGAGCTGTGATTAACCCTGAACTGGAAGCAGAGAGAGGAAGAGGCTGCCATGAATGTGGGCTGGGGGTAGGTCCTGGCTGAGTGAGGCCTCAGGAGGCCTGCCCCTTGGGCTAATGCAGTGTTGCACCTCTGGAGGGCTTGGCCTGCTCTGGGGATCAATGTGTTTAGACTGAGTTCTTGCTTTAAGGAAGCACCCAGATAGGGTGACACAGGCATGGGAGCTGGTGCCACTTTGATAGGCATGTTGCCAGAGAGATGTTGGTGGGCCTGTGGGGCCCCAGTCCAGGTGACCTCAGAGAATTGGCGGGGTGCATGGGAGTTCCTCAGGGGGGAAGAGCCAAGGTGTGGCTCCCTCTTCCAGGTGCGTTATGGCCCTGAATGGTTTTTGTCCCTTGCCATGGGCATGCACTGAATTGTGGATCCAGCTGTACTCCCTCCCTCCCACCCGGCGTAGGGCTGCCCGGAGTTTAACCCTTGCCTCTAGAAGTTGGTTCAGGCAGTGGCCAGGCGCTTTCCAGTTCTGGCTTTTCTGTTCTTTAATTCCAAGGGCTAAGTGTGAAGTCCTCAGGTAATTAGGGGGGCTTCTTGGAAGAAGTAAGCCCCTAGTTATTTGAATATAGAGAAGCCCAAAGGAAAGGGGAAAAAGTAGAGGTGAACAGCCATTGCAAACGTTGGGGCTGGAATACAGGTGGGAACCTTGGCTGCGCTACCTACCAGTGGTGAGGATGTGGCCCGGTCTGCTTGGAGAGGGTGTGGCCTTGTGACACCGCAGGGCTATTTTGGTGACCTGGAAGGGGCTGGGACTCTGCCTTTACCCATCTGGCAGTTCAGGGCCTTGACGGAGCAGAGCCTCAGGCCTGCATTTCAGACTTGCTGTTACCTGCTTGACAGGCACCCCTCCCCACCCCGCTTCCTGTTTTTCAGGCCCAGGCTGTCACCCTCACAGTCGCCCAGGCCTTCAAAGTCGCCTTTGAGTTTTGGCAGGTGTCCAAGGAAGGTGAGTCTTGTTCAGGGACGCTGTGGGGGGTGGGAGTGGAACAGGGGAAGGCTGGCAGAGAGAGAGGAGTGGGGAGTGGGTACTAAAGGCCCTGGAGTCCAGGCCCAACTCGCCTCTTCCTCACCTACTTGGTGTGTGACTTTGGACAGGTCCCTTCACCTCCCTGAGTCCCATTGTGAAGGGAAGGAACAGCTGTCTCCCTCCCCCAGGATGCTTATGAGGGTCAGATCTGCAGTTTCTATTCTCCCTGCTGGACACCTGATGTGGGCCCCTGTCCAGTGACTGCTGGGGGCGGGGCCTGCAACCCTCTGTGCCTTTGTACCACAGAGAAGGAGAAGAGGGAGAAAGCCAGCCAAGAGAGCGGGGACGTCCTAGGCGGGGGCCTCCGAGACAGCACCCCATCTTTGAAGAGCTGTGAGTCTTGGGCAGGGGATGGGGCCGGAATCAGCTTCATGATCGGGGGCTGCCCTTCATCCATCCTACTCACTCCCTCCAGGGCTGGGGCAAACCTTTGTTTTTTTATTTTTGTTTTGTTGTTAAATAAATAATACATGCTCATCATAGATAAATTTGAAAATGCAGGTAAAAGGGAACGGTTTGCTCTTTTTGATGCATGTTCTTCCAGATATGTCTATGCAAATATGTAAATATGTGTATACCCCTCTTAGTACATTTAACATCTTATTTATGTGATCTCTTAAAAAACTTAACACCTGTTGTGAATGTGAACATTTTAGCTTAAAACATTAGTTGGGGTAAAATTTGGGCCCTGTGGGCAGCTGTCCAGCCACTTGGGGAGGTGCTGGGGGCTCTTGATAGGCTTGGGAAGGCCATGCCTGAGGATGGGGTCAGGACCAGGATGGCCTGGGAGGCTCTAGGACGGGGCTGGGAGATGAAGCCTGGAAATAGGAGACTCCTCCCACTGACACACCTGACCGGACCCCTCGTAGTGGTTGCCACTGGGAACCTGCTGGACTTGGAAGAGACGGCCAAGGCCCCGCTGTCCACAGTCAGCGCTAATACCACTAACATGGACGAGGCACCGAGGCCTCAAGGCTTGAACAATAGCAGTGTTGTCTGGGTGAGTGGTCATGTGGCCTGGGGACCCCGCAGGGATCCAGCGAGCCTCTGCCTGATCCCTGGTTGAGGCCTAAGGCTTCTCTAGGGCCCAGGCCCGGCACCCATGACTTCAGTCCTATGGGAGGACCAGACTCAGCCCAGCAGTGCCCAGGCCCAGGGTGGGGGGTGAACAATGTCCCCTTTGAACTCGGGGCTGCATCCCCAACAGGCTTGGCTCCTAGCACAGCTGTCTTCTCACAATACCCAACCTCTTGGTCTGAGCGCCTGTGGCTTGGCCCACCACAGGACCAGCCAAAGGCTCCCTTGTTCTTGGCGTGGGCACGGTTTGCTTCCGACACCCCTCCCTGCTTCACCATCTGAAGGAGGAGCCTGAAGCCCGGCAGTTAGCAATTGGGCCCTGACTCACTCTGTGACTCGAGACAAGCCCCCCTGACCTCTCTGTGTCTCAGGTTTTTCATCCCCTCAGTAAAGATGATGACCTTGGCCTGCAGAATTTCCCAGAGGAAACTGTTTTGTTTTTTTTTTTTAAGATTTTATTTATTTATTTGACACAGACATCACAAGTAGGCAGAGGCAGGCGGGGGAGGGGGAGCAGGCTCCCTGCTGAGCAGAGAACCCCATGCAGGGCTCAATCCCAGGACCCTGAGATCATGACCTGAGCCGAAGGCAGAGGCTTAACTCCCTGAGCCACCCAGGCGCCCCTGGGTGTTTTTTTTTGTTTTTTTTGTTTTTGTTTTTTTTAAATACAGAAATTTTTTGCACTTGAAAATAATTTCAGACTTAACAAAAAAGTTATAGAAACAGTACATAGCATTCCTGTTCACCTCTCATCCAAATTCTCCACATATCAGCATCTCACACGAGCACATTACAGTGATGGAAGTCATTATCAGTCCGACGCCGTGAGGTCAGGCACAGGCTGTAGTCACGTGTCCACCACACGTCCCCTTTTTGCTCTCGGATCACTTGCAGAATCAACTGTTACTTTGTTATTTTCTTTAACTGTAAAATATCTGGAATGGTGATGGACTTGAGAGACTCAAATCCCGTTCCTTGCGGCCCCCTCAAGTAGGTATCAGGCCTGTTCTCTGCTGCCTGGGAACCACTCTTAGCACCTACCCATCCTCTCAGGGAGGCTGCAGGGAGCCCTGCCCATTGTTTACCCACCAGAGCTGTGGGGTTCATGCCATGAGTTATTCCCTCAGGAGCCTGGAAGTGGAGAAAAGCAAGAAAACCTTCTTCCCTACCCTCTTTGCTCTTGGAACTTGAAAGCCATCTACCTTATTCAGTCCAACCCCCTCATTTTATGGAAGGAAAAGCTGAGTCCCAGAGAGGAGCAGCAACTTGCCAAGGGGTCCCTTGTGTTATGGCAGAGCTGGGATTTCTACCCACTCCCCTGGTGCTCTTTGTCCTGTTCTATATCCCACTTTTGGGCCTGTGTGTTGAGATGTGTGTGCCTGTTCCCCAGGCACCCACCAGACTCCTGCACTTGTGTCCCGAGTCCCCTTGGCTTACCCAGGGCTGGGCTAGGGCCTGGCTGTGAGCACGGGCTCCCCCACTGAGGGTTCATATCTCCTTCTTTGTTTTCCCCAAGGAGCTGGATGATGGCCTGGATGAAGCATTTTCGAGGTAACATTAGCTGGGCTCCTTGTGCTGGGGAAGAGGTCCTGGTACTTGTGGGCTGGTCTCTGGGGTCCTTTGCCATATCTGAGAACATGAACTCTGACCTTTGCCAGGGTGTAAAATCTCAACTCGAATGCCTCCAGGGATGGGGAACTCACTATCGGGTTGGCCAGGTCTGCTAAAAGGCTCTTCTTGTTGAATCAAAAACTATTCCTAGTGGCTTCTTTTACCACAGTTTGAGATGAGCTAAACACTCTGCAGCTCAGGTTGATTCCGTCTTTCTACAGCTGGCGTAGTCTTCCAAACCTGGCTTTTTGCAGGCTTTGTTCCCTCCAGAGACTTTGCAGTTGTGGAAGGGGGCAGGGAGGAGGTAATGCTTAACGAAGCGATACATAGAGGAGGAATGTCAGGCACTATAGGGAGATATTTTGGTCTTGCACGAGGTTGATGGCCTTTCCCCATCTTCCCAGAGGCCAGCCCTGTAGCCATGGCTACCTTAGCTTGGGGACATGGCACTGAGAAGGCTGGGCTGAAGAGAGCCCTGGGCAGCTCCAGGTTCTGAACACTGGGCCTGGTCAGTCAGGCATCTGTGTCTTTTGGGAACCCTGCGCAGCCGCCTGCAGCCCTCTCCTTCCTCCCCAACTCCTTCCCTGCCAGAACCTGCTTAGAAACCCCTGGGCCCGGCCTGGGCAGATTGGGGGTCAGCATGGGTGGCTCTTTCATGGAGACAAAGAGATTCTTTTTACCATCTTCCTGCTTCTCTAGCTGACTACAACCCCCTCATTTTAAGAAAATCTTCCATTTGCTTTTTCCAGATTAATTAAGAACCTATGCCCTTTACTAACAACTTTGAAAATCAGCAAAGCATTAAACAGGAAATAACACCATCCTGTAATCCCACAGCCCAGATTTTTGGGTTTAATTCATGCTAATCCTATACATATACATTTTCCTTCCTGCCTTGATCACTCACAATGGTATTTGCTTTGGGGATCCTGATTTTCACTTAACCCTGACCTATCAGGAGCATTCCCCCAGCCTGTTAAAAACTCCTTTTAAACACCTCATTTATTGACTGCCTCCCATTCCTCTAAGGACCCAGGCTGTAATTTAACTTACATCTCCTCTGTTCTTTGGACGCTTGGGCTGTCTTCCTTCCCGTAACAGAGTTCTCGCCACTAGTCCGTGCCCGGTTGTACTGCCTCCACCCCACATGTGTCCCTCGCTGCCCGCGCCGGCGCTGCCCTTCCCACCTGTCCCCGGTGGAATCAGGGTCAGGGTGGCTCTGTGGTGGGAATGCCCCTGCCTGCCCCACAGTTTTCTCAGCTGTTTGGTCCTCAAGGGTAGACTCTGGTCAGAGGCGCCACCTGTCCTGATATCTAGGACTTTCTTCTCTGGCCCCTGTGTCCTGGCCTTCTCCCACCGGTGTGCTCTCACTTCTGCCCCGGCACTGCTGCTCAGGTCCCTGCCAGCCCCCTTCCGGGGCCCTGGGCTCACACAGCTCTGCCTTCCAGGCTGGCGCATTCTCGGACGAACCCTCAGGTCCTGGACACTGGGTTGACAGCACAGGACATCCGTTACGCCGAGTGCCACTCACCTGTCGACTGGGACAAGCCCGATGGCCGCGGTGCAGAGCAGGATGACCTCTTCAGCTTCTGAGGGCCCTGGTGCTGGCGGGACATGTGACAGACCAAAGCTACTTGTGGCGGCGTGGGGCCGGCACCGGGACCTCTGGCCCTCTTCTGCTGGGTGGCAGCGCTGTCAGCCTGCGAGTCACAGCTGCCTCCAGTCAAGCAGGGGGAAGGAGGACTTTTTTTTTTTTTTTTTTTTTTTTTGGTTCTACTGTTTCTGTAAGAACTGAAGGATGCCTTGAATATTTATTCAGTGACTCCTGGTTCAACTCAGAAGCCAGTTTTGCGTCCGGCACGAGCACAGTATTTTAACCAGCTTTCTGCCCTCTCTCGAGCCAGCTCTCTCTGCTGTGGGTGTCAGGACGGTGACCAAAGCATTTCTTGTCCCTTCTCCCTTTCTAAGGACCCAGATTTCCCTGGCGGCGCCTCCACTCCTTACCGAGCACAGGAGGGCCCCACAGCCTCAGGAGAGCGTTGCGTCCTCAAGTGTGCCTTCGGCCGGGGCCCAGCAGGTCTGCGCCCCTGCCTCGGGCTCCCCAACGGAGGGGCTGCCCCCGGCCAAAGACGGTGCGCAGCTGGCACTTTAAAGCACACACAGCAGGTATAGCCCTCAGGGGCTCCTCCACAGTGCTGTACTGCAGGGAGCTTTCTGTCTGCCCTGCCACAAGAAGGCCCGAAGTCCCCGTGAGTAGGCCCCATCGGTGCTGGGAACCAGTGTAATTGGCTGCCCACGGGTCCCAAGAGAGACTGCAACAGTGGGGATCGTCTGTGACTGCCCTCAGTCGGGGTCCCCCGCCGTGTTCTCCCTGAGTTGGACGGGCACGTGCCCACTCTTCCTGTTGCGTCCGCATGGGGGTCTCAGCTCCAACTCCCCGCGCCTCCGGGGACGTGTGGCACCAAGACTTGGTCGGGACTGGACTGCGTTGTTGCCATTTTACAGAGGAGGAGACAGGCCCCCGAGTGTGGAAGGGGTAGAGTGCAGAGTAGAAGTAGATCTGATGCCAAAGTTGCCTCTCACTCTCGCCTCTCCCGGCTCACACCTCCCTTCTTTCTGGCTTTGTTGTCCTCCCAGGAACCAAAAACCCCAGCTATTTTCTGACCAAAACGTGTTTCATAACAAACCATCTGGTGCCTTTGAACACACAACTGGCTTGAGCCTCCTGACCTGCTAGCTGTCTGGCTGCCGACTTCCGTGGAAATGAAGTGTCGATGCTAATTGGGAGGGTGAAACCAAACCACACTCTGAAGCATCACGCTCTTCTTTCCTGGCTCTTGCCCCTGGGTTGGGTTGGGGTGTGGTGGTGGCTGGCTGTCCTCAGTCTTCTATTCTTCTCCCATTTTACCCCCCGGGGCTCCCAGCAAAGCTGCATCTCCACCTGGAGGTGCCTCCTGGGCTTGGCTTTACTGAGCTCAAGTCACTGATGCTTGCAGGTTGCACCAGCTGGGGAAAAACACACACCATTTCTCAGAATCTACTTCTCCAAGCACTTGAATCGGTGCACAGAGACAGAAGTGCCTGGCCGAGGAGTGGCGGGGCGGCGGGGGGGGATTCGTAGAGTCTTTACCAGACACGGGAATCTGTTCCTTTCCTTGCCCTGCTCCTGCACCTTGCCGCCCACCCCAGACCTTGGTGTGGGCCCGTGGATTTGTTGTGAGGCAGCAATGGGTGGGCCCGACGCCAGCTGTCCCTGGCACCAGGGTCCAGAAGCCCCGAGAGGCTGTGCTGTGTGTGTGTGTGTGTGTGTGTATGAGAAAGAGAAAGACCAAGAATGGGACTTGCCTTCCTCTGGGTCCCTGGCTGACAAGCTGTCCTTGTGCCCCCATGTGTCTGCAGATGAGTCTTGTGCTTTGCTTTGTGTTGCTGTAAAAGACGTTCTCATGAGGAAAAGATGGAGTAATAAAGGTTCTCTTTTTGAACCACAAAGAGCACTTGGAGGGAGTGGCCCATGGCCTGGTGAGCATGAAGCTCCTGCCTTCAGTGGTTGCGGTGGCAGTGACCACAGGCTGAGGTGTGGTGCGGGGAATGGTCTGTGGTCCACTGGTGGAAGCCCAGCAGGTGGAAGCCTTCTCACCCAGCAGATGTGGCCATGCGGTTAGCTCATCTTGGAGGGCTTGGGGCCACACCAGCGATCTGGAGCAGCGGGACCTAGGGCAGAGCCTCCTGGCCAGGAGGAAGGAATGTGCGTGTGATTATGTGTGGATCCACATGTGTGTTTTTCTTGGGGAGCATGTCCATCGTTTCTGTCACATTCTTAACGTGGGTCCCCAACATGCATTCATTACATGCATTCATTATAGGCTCCCAGTGGACTCCAGATGGCGGCTTTGGCGTGACTGGAGACGGGGGTGGGGGATGGTGGAAAGAGTTTTAGTGATGTGGGAGACCCAAGGCCTCACTCAGGCTCTGACACTGGATCGATCACTTCTTTTTTTTTTTTTTTTTTTAAAGATTTTATTTATTCCTTAAGCCTCGGTTTCCCCATTTAGGAAAAGGCTACTGCAAGTTTAAACCCTCCCACCTCCCTGGTTTTTGTGAGACTCAGAGGTAGCCATTTTGTCACTGGTGGCTACTGCGATAGCTCAAAGTTTATCTCAGAGCAAAAGGCATTCAGACCCTAAGGAAATCAAAGTAAAATTTGACAATAAAGACAGCTGCTATTAACAGAGCTCTTACCATGTGCCTGGGGCTGTGCTAAACTTGAACTCGTCTGAGCCCATTGCTTTTAGCTCCTTTTACTGCTGCGGCACCAAGGCTAGGGAGGAAGGCTGTCTTGCACCTACCACTTTGCAGAGCCACAGGCCAGACTGATCTGTGGACCGTTGACCTCACCATGTCCTGACCTCCCTGGAGCCACACCTGGAGTCATGCTGCCCATGGCGTCCTGTGAGCCCCACGGTGCCGGCCACAGAAAGTCTCCCTCCACAGGCTCCAGCGGGGGTCTCCAACATGTATCTCTTTGTCCCTTTTAAACAGCAGTTTTTAAATATCCAGAACCCAGAGGCTGAGCCCTCTGATGTCAGGCAGACTCACTGAATTCTGAGTGGATCATAGATGACTAAGAAACGCTCTCCTTTCTTCTCCTCCCATAATCTGAAAAGACACCCAACAAGTTCATCTTTCAGTATAAATTTGGCCAATGTCTTTAGTCTCCGGAGGTCTCAAATTATGACTCCCAAGCACCCGCCGTCTGCTCTTTCATGCATAACAGATGAAGCCAGTAAGAACAAAGTCGCCTTTCAGATTTGATGTGACCTTCAGCTTCACTGGGTGGATGTCGAGGTCTTGTCTCCCAGGAGGAGACAGCATCCCAGTTAAATCTCTCCAACAACTTCTCAGTAAGCCCAGATAGGGAATCGGGGTCGATTCCGTGCTCTCAGTTGTGGCTTTCCTCCTCCTGCCTCCCCGTGTGTACAGATCACGGCCTTCTCGTCTATTAGGGTGTGAACCTTTCTCCAGCGCTTCATATGTGCCAAGCCCTGTTAGGTCCCTTATGCCTAACACCGGTGGTACTAATTCTGACAACTGCACTATGAGGTGGGTGGTCCTAGTCCCATTTTCAAGATAGGACAATGGAGGCTCAGGGAGGACAGACATGTGAATTGACCAAAGTCTCAGCCAGTAAGGAGCAGACCCGGGATTTGGACCCCAGTCTGTCTGACTCCAGTGCTTGTCTAGTTCCATGACCCTACCCACCCTGTGGAGTGAAGGGTAAAGCCGAGCTGCCCATGCCCAGAAATGGGCAGCCTTGCCCACAGGGCACATGGGAGCCGCTGGCCAGTGGGTGTCTCCATGGGCAGAGTAGCGGGGCCTGGGCCAGTCTAGGCACCTAAAGTGGGGTTCATCTCCCAGACTGGCCCAAACATCCCTCCTGCCTCTAACTAGGTAGAGGCAGGCGCTCTGGGGCTGCTGCTCGGACACGTCAGCTTAGGACTTGGCAAGTCATGCCTCATCACACCCCACCGCATATTGCCCCTGGTAGGCATTGCCCAGCCTGGGGCCGGCAGGGAAGGGGTGGCCAGAGTGAGCATTGTGGTCCCGCAGAGGGGGAAGATTTCCTCTGCAGGCAGACTCAGCGTGTGGCTGGTGGGGAATGGCAGCCTCGGAGGCGCCAGGAAGGGGAACCCGTCTCTGGAACCCTGGCAGCACCTCCACACATTCGCCAGTCGAAGCTGTGGAGTGACTGGGCTGGTAGGCATCATAAGCTCATTTTAGAGACAGTGAAACTGAGGCTCAGAGCTTATGTGACCTCCCAGCCTCCCGCAGATGGTTAAGAGGCAGGCCTGGGGTTCAAAGCCTGTGTGTTCTCCCCTGCCCCGGTGTGGCTTTGGGTCACTTGGAACATTTGGACAATACTTTGCTTGCATATTAGGAGCTTCTGAGCAGAGCTCCCAGCACACAGGTGCTGGATCAGGTTGGTGCCTTTGCTTCCAACCAGGACAGATGTGAGCTGTGTCACAAGTCTTGGTTGCCAAGCAACAATTCTGACTGCACCTGCTGAGCCCCCGCGTGGGATGGGGCTTTCAGGGCCTGTCCTGATCTCTTTGCAGTCCAGGGGTTGTGGGTCACGGTGCCCTGGAGAGCTGGGCATGACGTAGGTTCGCCTTGCACCATGAGGACGATGTAAGTCAGCTGAGGAAGCCAACAAGGGCTTCTGGAAGAGGGAAGTGTTCCTGCTAGGCCTTGAAGGAGAGTACAAAGGTTGGAGACTGCCTTGGTTACCCCGAGTTCTGGACAGCCAGGGCGTGGGTTTGAGACACCTGTGGCCCCAGTGCCCAGCATGGCACCTGGCACCCAGTGGCTGTCAAGGACCACAGTCAGCTCACCAAAAGGGAGACAGCTGGTCTGGCTTCCTGTGAGACCCTGCTGAGAGAGGGGTCAAGACTAGCCTCTGTGGCATGATGGCCCACTTTGCAGAGTATCTATCTGTTCTAGAGGCAAACCCGTCCCATGGCAAGCTCCCCCAGTTACCCTGGACCTGGTGTTCTAGCTCTCACACAGCCCCGCCTGGCTTGGGAAATCTCCTTCACCCTGACCAAAGATCTTGTTTTTTTTTTTGTTTTTGTTTTTTTTTTTTAAATTTTTTTTTTTAAGATTTTATTTATTTATTTGACAGAGAGAGATCACAAGTAGATGGAGAGGCAGGCAGAGAGAGAGAGAGAGAGAGGGAAGCAGGCTCCCTGCTGAGCAGAGAGCCTGATGCGGGACTCGATCCCAGGACCCTGAGATCATGACCTGAGCCGAAGGCAGCGGCTTAACCCACTGAGCCACCCAGGCGCCCAAGATCTTGGTTTTTAAAATGTCTTTAGAGCAGGATTCTAGAATTTAGTGCCAGAAGGGCCCCTAATGGTCCTCTTGGGCTACCTACTTTGTTTACACCTGGGATGCTGAGGCCCATAGAGGGACAGGACTCCCCCAGCCTGTGTGGGCAGTTACGCAGAGCTGCGATTTTAGCCATAGATTTTTCCATGGGGCCCATGCTCAGTCCTCCACCCCAGAGGGAGAAAAGAGAAGTCCCTTCCCCACACTTGCTGGAAAGGGCCACGTGCTCAAGGTCCGAGGGTTTGTGGAGCAGTGGAAAGGATTATAAGAAGGGCTGGAGAAAAGGCCTGGTGAATTCCAAGGCATGGAATGAATGTCAACTCATCATCTGTCTCTTCAGCCCCCTTCTCAATCCCTGAGGTCTCTACAGCCAGAGATGCCGGCACAAGGCTGGAAAGAGAACCGAGAGTGGTGATGAGCACCACCTCGGGCACCAGCCTGGGCTGGAATCTCAGCTTTGCCACTTCCTAACTGTGTCGATGATTTCATAGTCTGGGTCTGGGGTTCCTTTCGGGTCAGGTTGGGTGTTGT